TCCTAGGAACTAATCTGCTTGACACTCATACGTCGAATTCGACGGGAGAGTCGATTATATATATATATATAATATATATATATATATATATACCGCAAATCACGCCGTTGAGTTTATACCTATAGACAGCAGAGAAAACAAAATCTTTGACTAATGCAAATTTCGATGCCATTATAAAAGCAAGATCTACTTCCTGATATGATGACTGTTTTTAAAATTACATTGTATTAGGACGTAAGTGAGGGTAATGGATTCGATTGGAATTCGAACTCGTCACTGCGATTCCTCAATCCGAGCTACTATCCATTAGTCTCTCTCTCTCTCTCTCTCTATATATATATATATATATATATATATATATATATATTATATTTATTATCTATCTATCTATCTATCTACAGGTTGACAATTATATATATATATATATATATATATATATATATATATGGATATATGGACATAGATGTGAAACAGAAAACAGTGGAATATATTTCTAATCTCAAGTGAATACTGGAGTTCATCCGATGCAGCCAACAAAGATTTAAGAACTAAATTAAGTTGCTTCTTTACGAACAGACTAAAGTATCTCGACGCCATATTTAACAGGAAAAAAAAATACAGACTGACTGAAGCCTTAGTCGATGCGAAATAAGAATAGAACTGATGCATCACATGAGAAAGTTTGTACTGAATAACATCTGTTTTTTTTATATATAGTAGCGTTGACACTTATTCTGTTAAACGTATTGTTAAATAAGTTGACTTAAACAGCAATAAATAAGTGCAAACGGAGGAAATTTGATTAACCGGTATCTATTTTAAATATACTTTAGTATGTAGAATTCTACTTTAAACCAACGTTTCCCGCTAAGTCATTCTCATAATCTATCTATCTATCTATCTATCTATCTATCTATCTATCTATCTATCTATCTATCTACGACTGTCTCCTGATTTCTATCTATCTATCTATCTATCTATCTATCTATCTATCTATCTATCTATCTATCTATCTTAGTCTGCTCATTATCTATCTATCTATCTATCTATCTATCTATCTATCACAGGTTGACCATTGCCTATGCATATCAGCCTGTTCAGATCTCTCTCTCTCTCTCTCTCTTTATGTAACTATTTCATTCGGTTCATGTCTCTGTTTATTGTATGTATGTATGTATATATATATGTATGTATGTATGTATGTATGTATGTATCTATTTCGGTTGGTTCGTTATCTATCTATATACCTATCTATCTATCTATTTTGGTAGGTTCATTATCTATCTATCTATTTATCGATTTTGGTAGGTTCATTATCTATCTATCTATCTATTTCGGTCGGTTCGTTATCTATCTATCTATCTATCTATCTATCTATTTTGGTAGGTTCATTACCTATCTATCTATTTATCTGTTTTGGTAAGTTCATTATCTATCTATCTATCTATCTATCTATCTATTTTGGTAGGTTCATTACCTATCTATCTATCTATCTATCTATTTTGGTAGGTTCATTACCTATCTATCTATTTATCTATTTTGGTAGGTTCATTATCTATCTATCTATCTATCTATCTATCTATTTTGGTAGGTTCATTATCTATCTATCTATCTATCTATTTCGGTCGGTTCGTTATCTATCTATCTATCTATCTATTTTGGTAAGTTCATTTTCTATCTATCTATCTATCTATTTCGTCGGTTCATTATCTATCTATCTATCTATTTTGGTAAGTTCATTATCTATCTATCTATCTATCTATCTATCTATCTATTTCGGTCGGTTCGTTATCTATCTATCTATCTATTTATCTATTTTGGTAGGTTCATTACCTATCTATCTATTTATCTGTTTTGGTAAGTTCATTATCTATCTATCTATCTATCTATCTATCTATCTATCTATCTATCTATCTATCTATTTTGGTAGGTTCATTACCTATCTATCTATCTATCTATCTATCTATCTATTTTGGTAGGTTCATTACCTATCTATCTATTTATCTATTTTGGTAGGTTCATTATCTATCTATCTATCTATCTATTTTGGTAGGTTCATTATCTATCTATCTATCTATCTATTTTGGTAGGTTCATTATCTATCTATCTATCTATCTATTTCGGTCGGTTCGTTATCTATCTATCTATCTATCTATTTTGGTAAGTTCATTATCTATCTATCTATCTATCTATTTCGTCGGTTCATTATCTATCTATCTATCTATTTTGGTAAGTTCATTATCTATCTATCTATCTATCTATCTATTTCGGTCGGTTCGTTATCTATCTATCTATCTATTTATCTATTTTGGTAGGTTCATTACCTATCTATCTATTTATCTGTTTTGGTAAGTTCATTATCTATCTATCTATCTATCTATCTATCTATCTATCTATTTTGGTAAGTTCATTATTTATCTATCTATCTATCTATTTCGGTCGGTTCGTTATCTATCTATCTATCTATCTATCTATCTATCTATTTTGGTAGGTTCATTACCTATCTATCTATTTATCTATTTTGGTAGGTTCATTACCTATCTATCTATTTATCTATTTTGGTAAGTTCATTATCTATCTATCTATTTTGGTAGGTTCATTATCTATCTATCTATCTATCTATTTCGGTCGGTTCGTTATCTATCTATCTATCTATCTTATCTATCTATCTATCTATCTATCTATCTATCTATCTAACACAGGTTGACAATTATCTATGCATATCAACCTATTCAAATTTCTCTATCTCTCACGTTCTCTATCTCTTTATGTATCTACTTCATTCGGATCATCTCTCTGTTTATAGTATCTATCTATCTATTTATCTTTCTACCTGTCTCTCTATTTCAGTCGGATCATGATCTGTCTATCTTATTCTGTTCATACCTTTCTCAGTTTGTCGATATCTATCTATCTATCTATCTATCTATCTATCTATCTATCTATCTATCTAATTCTGTTTTTTTCTGATTCATATCAATCATGGCGTAGTCATCCTTCGTCATATGATTATTGAAACTACTTGTCGGACTTGATAACCGACATTTCAAAGGCAAGAATTGACAAGACATGGCTTAACTGCCGACAAATTAAACCAGTCTCTTCACCATCTCTCTCTTTCTATCTCTCTCACTCTACGTCTGTGCTTTAATGCATGTTTAGTTGAAAATTTAAAAAAATAGAATGGTGTAGTCTAAAAGGGAGACGTGCATCTGAATGTATGGCAAAAATATGTGGCGTTGGTCCAAGCAATCATTCAGTTTCTAGTTTAGGTCATCCGAAATGCTCACATTTATTTATCCCAAGTTTCTATTAAAAGATCGAGTTTTATAAAGTTTTAGCCATTGTCACATACAAGCGAAAAAAAAAAAACCATACAATAATTTCCTACAATAAAACTTGGATAATATAATATTAGCGATAACAATCTGTTAAAATCTCTTTTTATCTATTCCACACGTAATATCCACCCAAATCTGTTGAGAAAATTAAGTAAAACAAAATATAAATTGAAAGGAAGTGCTTTGTTAGTCATAAAACATTTCTATCTGTCCATCTGTCTGTCTATCTATCTATTTAATTCTGTGAAGGTCTTTCTCAGTGTGTTCATATGTATGTATCTGTTTATATATGTCCATGTCTATATCAGTCTGTTGATGTCCATCGCAGTTTCATATCAAATATATGTCCGCCGTCCTATCTATCTCAGTCCGTTCATTATCTATCTATCTATCTATCTATCTATCTATCTATGTCTGTCCATATCTATCTATCTATTTATGTCTGTTCATGTCTATCTGAATCTGTTAATATGTATATGAATTTGTTCATATCGATCTATCTCAGTCTGTTCATATCTATCTATCTATCTCAGTCTGTTCGTATCTATCTATCTATCTCAGTCTTTTCGTATCTATCTATCTATCCATCTATCTATCTCACGTTGTCCCTTATCTATGCATCTCAGCCTGTTCAGACCTCTTTGTTTCTCTCTCTCTCTTTATATATATATATATATATATATATATATATATATATATATATATATATATATATATATATATATATATATATATATATATATATATATATATATATATAAATGTGTATTTATTATAATTTATAATATATATATATATATATATATATATATATATATATGTGTGTGTGTGTGTGTGTGTGTGTGTGTTTAGGCACCAATTTTTCATTAATGCATGTTTCATTAAATAATATAGACACGTTTTGTCTGTTTATTTAAGTAGGTTCCTGTTATATTGCCTGGTAAGTTGAATAACATTATCATTGAAAGACTTATGTAAGCCGAAAGCTTACATTGGATTTAAACATGTATCAATATGGTGATTTCCTTTCGTCTTTCAATGATAATGCTATTAAGCTTATCAGACAATATGAAAGGAACTTAATTAAAATAAATAGACAAAAACTTGTCTATATTATTTAATGAAACATGCATTATTTATACATATATATATATATATATATATATATATATATATATATATATATATATATATATATATATGTGTGTGTGTGTCTGTTCTATCTCTCTAGATTGTCCATTATCTATGCATCTGAGCCTGTTGAGATCGATCTCTCTCTCTCTCTCTCTCTCTCTATATATATATATATATATATATATATATATATATATATATATATATATTTATCTATCTATTTTATTCTGTTCATTTCTCTGTTTTGTTTTATAGTCTGCATTTATTTATATATGTATGTATACATGTATGTATGTATGTATCTATCTATTTATCTATCTATCAAGTATTCAGTTGGATTTGAATCACAATTAAGTTTCTGAAAATCAATGTTTATTGTGAAGTCAGAAGCCGGTATAGAGTTCCACAAACAAGAAGTGCGATAGAAGAATTGTAAACATAGGACCTACGGTTACATCTAGCAAATTCAACTGCAAAATGATGAAACCTTGTCACCAATCTCGTACTGCGTTTATATTCATATATCCTATGTACCAAAGAGGAAAGCCCATTAGAACAATTACCATGAATATATTCTGATAGACTTTCCGCTAATGTAGTAGATTTTATGAATTTAAGCGTGGTACTAGATTAACTGTTAAAATTGCGAGATGTAATCCGAGGGAGACAATGGAAAACTTAACGAGTTTAATTATATCGAAAGGATAAGAAAAAGAAAAAAAAATGGTAGATTTTCGTGACGTATTTAGAGCATCAAAAATTGAATTAATGTAGAGCTGCTAATTTCTTTTTCCTATTTTCGATGTTATTTTCGTCATTCTCCAAAGAAAATAAAAGACTTTTTCTTGTTCCCCCCCCCCCGAATTTCGTTGAGTTTTTGAAACACGTGTTTGGATATCATTTTGTTTCAAATTATGTTTTTTTCGTCCTGGGTATAACGATGAACTACATCCGCGTGCTGTGTAAGACGATAAACTACAACGGAAAGGCTTCTGATCAGGAGGTTTTGAGGAGCGTGGAACCACGTCTTAATGCTGAACCGGTGTGATAACACCTGTTAGGGTCCCAGCTATGGGCAAATATTTAACCCCCCAAACTGGGGCCAAAACACTATGAAAGTGAAAAATAGGTTTTAATAGCAGCAATACTTTTTTGTAAAGAATTATTACTAAAATGTTGAAATAAAAAATATTACCAGCAATACATTATTACCAGCAATACTTTTTTTGGAATAAAAAAATTACCATCAATACATTCTTGAAAAAAAGTAATATTACCACCAATACATTTTGAGTGAAAATATTGCCAGCAATACTTTTTTGAAAAAAAAAATACTACCATCAATGCATTACATTTTGGGGAAAATATTACCAGCAATATTTAAAAAATAAACTGTTACCATCAATACATTCTTGAAGAAAAAAAATATTACCAGCAATACACTTTTGGTGGAAAAATATTACCAGCTTTAGATTATTACCAGCAATACATTTTTTTCGAAAAACATATTACCATCAATACATTCTTGAAAAAAAGAAATATTAGCAGCAATACATTTTGGGGGAAAATATTACCAGCACTAGATTATTACCAGCAATACTTTTTTTTTGGGGGAAAAAGGATATTACCAGCAATACATTCTTGAAAAAAAGGATATTACCAGGAATACATTCTTGAAAAAAAACTATTACCAGGAATACATTTTGGGGGAAAATATTACCAGCAATAGATTATTACCAGCAAAAATTTCTTGGAAAAAATATTACCAGCAATACAATTTTAGAAGTAAAAAATATTACCAGCAATACCATGTTTGAAAAAAAAATATTACCAGCAATACATTCTGGGAAATATTATCAGCAGTGAATTTTGCGGAAAATATTACCAGAAATACTTTTAGAAAAAAATATGACCAGTAATAAAAATTTTGTCGGCTTTAAAAAAGCTATTCAGGCTGATATTCCATAAAACAAAAGAAAGCCAAACCAAATCAGTTTTGTCTCTCTTCTTTTTAACCTCAGATTCTACTCTGCAAACTATTAGTCTTGGATTCCTTGCCATATTACCTTTAATATCTTCTTTAATATCTACCTTTAATATCTATATCTTTAATATCTACCTTTAATATCTATATCTTTTAATATCTTTAATATCTTTAATATCTTTAATATCTATATCTAATATCTAATATCTAATATCTTTAATATCTATATCTTTAATATCTTTAATATCTTTAATATCTATATCTTTAATATCTACCTTTAATATCTATATCTTTAATATCTACCTTTAATATCTTCTTCAAAAATTATATCATAAATTTATTTTCTTTCATTCTCTGTTTAGGCATTGGAAAGTCCATTCACAATTCTCATCGATTTTGAAACATTGCATTTATAACTGTCATTTTCGGATTTCTTGCAGGCTAGTTATCTATTATTCTGACTTTTTAATTCATCTTTCCTATGTTAAACTTCGCTTCACTAAATTCTTCGTTTTTTTTTTTTTTTTTTTTTACCCATACTCTTGTAATGAAGCCGCTTATTAAAATGGGGAAATTGGTTTTTCACTCTTCAAAATTTTTCTTCTTAAAACATTTCAATTTCCTCATAAAAAATATCGTGTTGAGCTTGTTCATAGAATTCTACATTGTCAGACTAATTGTCAAAAGTTTCTCTAATGATAGCCATGAAATTCCAACGCTGCGAAAAAAAAACAAAAAAAAAACACACACACAGACACACAATTCTGACGGATTAATAAAAAAAATTCATTCTAAAATTATCTTCTAAATTCCAATCACCTGAAGGAGTCCGGATCGTACAACGGCCAAAATGGTGTGAATATGCCAATGAAGATGAAGATAACAGTCCGAATAATGTAAATAATGTAAGTAATCATAATACCTCATCTCAGAGATAGAGACATAGAAGTTAAACACTTCTTTCTTTCTTTCTTTCTTTCTTTCTTTCTTTCTTTCTTTCTTTCTTTCTGTGTTTGGTCTCAGAATCAAATGCAACTATAATAGTCTCACGTAAAAAAAAAGACTAAAATTAATGGAAGCACTAATAATAAAAAAAAATAAAAGCCAAGACTCAATAACATCAACTATGAACACGGCCACAAAGTGGTGACCATGTTAGGAAAATCAAAAAATATATCATCATCACTATAAAGGCGCATAAAAAAAGTCTACATATCCACATCAGTTTAAAAAAAATATATAACAAATAATTTCTAACAGAATGTCCGAAAATGCACGAATATATAGAATATCGGATAGATTTTACATATTTTAGGTCCAGAAAAGAAAAAAGAGAAACACAAGAAAAACTGAATATATATATATATATATATATATATATATATATATAAAAAATAGATGATGTGTATGCGTGTGTGTGTAACGCATGCACGGCCGCAATTTTCGACGGATTTGCACCAACCTTTACATGCACATTCTGCAAGTTAGCGGGAAGGCCAAGACCGACTTTGCATTTCCCAACTCCCATCGATAGTGGAAATTATCGATTTTTTTCCTGCTTCTACTGCAGTTTTCATGTAGTTTGCGGTCATTTTCTACTGGCCAGAGTGAGAGCTTCTAGCTGGCTGCCCCGAATAGGCAGGTAGATTGTATGGTCCAGCGTGAGAGCCAACAGCTGACTAACACGAATGTTAACTAGCATGCTAGCATGCAAAAAAATCGATAGCTGCATTCGTCATAAGTGAGAAAAATTTAAATCTGCATGGCAATTTACTCCAATTGGCTCATTCGCTTGCTTAAACTCAACGTTAATTCTGATTCCGCAGAACTGGTTTGGGTGTGAAAAAGTATTTGTTGTTAACATTCTTTTTTCATTCGGTTTTTCCAGTTACGAGTCCTTTTTTAAAGCTGATCGTTTTGTGTTCATTTTGTTTAGTTCTTTTTCGTAACAGATTTAATGTTTAGTATAGAGCTTAGAAAAAATTCGCACTGTGAGATAGGCAAGAAGTAAGGCATGTAGCAACATCAGCACGGCAAAGGGCTCTCTTTTAAAAAAGGCAAGGAAGGGCAAAATATTTTTAAGTCAAGTGATAGCGATTGCTGTATGAGTTGTACGATTTTGAATCAATCACGGCAACGCCGGGCAATGCTGCTAATATATATATATATATATATATATATATATATATATATATATATATATATATATATATATGTGTGTGTGTGTGTGTGTATTCGGTGTATACGTTATTTTTATACATACATTTATTTAAGCAAATGCTCTGATTATAATAAACAGTATTAATTGCATTCACCGGCCTGACTGTCCGAGAAGTTTCCGTAGAAAATATGTCTCCTTCGACAGAAATCGAACAAGTATTCTACACGGAATCGTCATTTAGCCTGACGTGCTATACCATTTAGCTACAGAGGAAGCATCTTGTTAGCAATGTGAAATTACTCATTGTAAATAACAAATTTTCCACAATCTTTTCTCGAATGCTCATATCTACTCGAAGCGTTTCTTAACATAAACAGATAATATCATGTATTATGAAATAGACTAAGCCCGACAGTTATTTTAATATATTTTCTGTTTATATGCTATTTTTATAAATACAAATATTTAAGTAAATGCTCTGTTTATAATAAACAGTATTAACTACGTTTACCGGCCTGAATATCCGAGAAATTTCATCAAAAATATGTCAGTTATCGAACCTATATCCTACACGAAAGCGTCATATAGCCTGACGTTCTATACCATTTAGCTACAGAGGAAGCGTCTGGTTGCTGAGGTCAAATTACTGTTTTTAAACTACAAATTTCCCATGACTTCTCTCGAACGCTCATATCTACTCGAAGCGTATCTTAACGTAAACAGATGATATCATATATTATGAAATGGACTAAGTATAACAATTATTTTAATATATTTTCTGTTTCCACGTTATTTTTTATAGATACAGTAATTTAAGTAAATGCTCTGTTCATAATAAACAGTATTAATTACATTTACCAGACTTAATGTCTTAGAAATTTCGTAAAATATATCTGTCCTCTGACAGGAATTGAATCGACATTCTACACGAGACCGTCATTTAGCCTGGCGCGCTATACCATTTAGCTACAGAGTGGCGTCTAGCTCGCAAGTTAAATAACGTATAAACACAAAATGTTAAAATAGTTGTCTGACTTTGTCCATTTCATAGTATATATATATATATATTTTTTTTTTCCATGTTCTGTTTAAAAGTTTTTTTTCTATTCTTCTATTCTTCTATGTACGACGTACTTTCAAGATATAGGCGGTTATGGCTCTCCACACCTTTCATCTCGAGTGGCGTTTAGCAGTGTTTCTCTCTTTGCTAAGTGTTGTGGTAGGATCCACCTAATTTGCATAGTGGAGTACCGACCATATAAATATGGTTGGTACCGGGAAGACGAGGGGAGGAATCAAGAGATTCAATCCAGAGACTCTGCCCGACTGCGACTAAGTCAACACATTCTCCAGGAACGGTCTTCCCAAGAATATGCAAAAGACTATATGTAAATATTGTGTACCGTTCTTGTTTCCATACATTTTGTTCTAATTACATTTTTTGCTGTATTATTATTCCATGCATTAGTCAAGTTTCAACACTAAGGCTTCAACATCCGTTCACACAAACTCGTCACTTAAGAGGCTTGCTACCTTCTTCTATCTCAGTTGCCCTTAATGTTTCCCGCCAGGATTAAGTTTGCTTAAAAATGAAAATGTTCGCTCTATTTCATATGTATTTATAAGGCACTACTTAGCGATGCACTCCATAGCTAAGTCGGATAAATATACATCACGAAAATTTGCACGTTGGATCAGATTTTCGGGATAACAACTGAAACATTACTCTATTTATTGAAATATTTAGTTCATGACACATTGACTGATAAACTACTAGAAAAAAAAAATCTTAAATTGCCATGGATGATACAAAGTATCATTGTAGACAAGAATTCTATAAACATTTTCCCACCGGATTTTATCGCCAAATACTGTCTAAATGACTCGTCAAACAATTCTTTCTCTCCAGACCGAATCCTGAGAAGATTAGACAGCCTAGCAAATAATTCCATTCTCAATGTGTCTATTACAATGATTTGTTTATTTAAGAGATAATGTTATTGTCGGTTTCATTTGCAATTTCTTCTTCCGATGTCAGCATTTATTGATTTTCTCGTCTTCCATATAAAGACATGAAAAATAAACTTTGTTACTGTCTATATTTCTGAGATGAGGTATTATATACACTATTTACATTATTCGGACTATTGCCCACATCTTTGTCACCATATTTATGACAACGTTTCGGCCTTTCAGTATCTGTCTATATTTCTGAGATGAGGTATTATATACACTATTTAGATTATTTGGACTATTGTCCTCATCTTTGTCACTATATTTATGATAACGTTTCGACATTCCAACCACCTGAAGAAGGCCGGAGCGTACATCGGCCGAAACGTTGTGATAAATATGGTGACAAAGATGTGGACAATAGTCCGAATAATGTAAATATTGTAAACTTTGTCACGTATCGGATAAATTATTAAGAGAGAAAGAGAAAGATAAAGAGAGAGAGTGAAAAGAGAAAAATAGAGGGAAAAGGAGAGAAAATAGAAATATAGAGGGAAAGAGAGAGAAAAGAGAAAGACAGAAGGAAACAGAGAGAGAGAGAGAGTTAAAATAGTAAGATAGAGGGGAAGAGAGAGAGAGTGTGTGTGTGTGTGTAAAAAGAAACATAGAAGGAAAAAGAGAAAGTGAAAAGAGAAAGATAGAGGGAAAGAGAGAGAGAGAGAGAGAGAGAGAAAAGAGAACGAAAGAATAAAAAAGGAGAGAATGAAGAGAGAAAGATGGAGGGAAAGAGAGAGAAAAGAGAAAGATAGAGGGAAAAAGTGAGAGAGAAAAGAGAACGAAAGAAGGAAAAGGAGAGAGGGAAAAGAGAAAGATGGAGAGAAAGAGAGAGAGAAAGAGAGAGAGAAAAGAGAACGAAATGAGGAAAAGGAGAGAGTGAAAAGAGAAAGATGGAGGAAAGAGAGAGAAACGAGAACGATGGAAGGAAAGAGAGAGTGAAAAGAGAAAGATAGAAGGAAAGAAAGAGAGAGAAAAGAGAACGAAAGAAAGAAAAAGGAGAGAGTGAAAAGAGAAAGATAGAGGAAGAGAGAGAGAAAAAAAACGTTAGAAGGAAAGAGAGAGTGAAAAGTGAAAGATAGAAGGAAAGATAGCGTGAAAAGAGAACGAAAGAAGGAAAAAGGAGAGAGGGAAAAAAGAGAAAGATTGAGGGAAAGACAGAGAAAAGAGAACGATAGAAGGAAAGAGAGAGTGAAAAGAGAAAGATAGAGAGAAAAAGAGAGAGAGAAAAGAGAACGAAAGAAGGAAAAAGGAGAGAGGGAAAAAAGAGAAAGATTGAGGGAAAGACAGAGAAAAGAGAACGATAGAAGGAAAGAGAGAGTGAAAAGAGAAAGATAGAAGTAAAGAAAGAGAGAGAGCAAAGAACGAAAGAAGGAAAAAGGAGAGAGTGAAAAGAGAAAGATAGAGGAAAAGAGAGAGAAAAGAAAACGATAGAAGGAAAGAGAGAGTGAAAAGAGAAAGATAGAGAGAAAAAGAGAGAGAGAAAAGAGAACGAAAGAAGGAAAAAGGAGAGAGGGAAAAAAGAGAAAGATTGAGGGAAAGACAGAGAAAAGAGAACGATAGAAGGAAAGAGAGAGTGAAAAAAGATAGAGGGAAAAAGAGAGTGAATAGAGAAAGATAAAAAGAAAGAAAGAGAAAGAGAAAAGAAAACGATAGAAAGAAAGAGAGAAAAGGGAAAAGAGAAAGACTGAAAGAGAGTGCGAGCAAAGAGAATGCCAGAAGGAAAGAGAGATGGAGAGAGAGTGAAAAGAGAACGATAGAGGGAAAGGGAGTGAGAGTGAAAAGAGAGAGAGAGAGAGAGATAGATAGAAAGAGAGAGAGAGAGAAGAGTTAGATTTATCGTTTCCATTTTCCTGTCGTAAAATGCTATAAT